CACACACACACACACACACACACACAAATTTCAGATTCTTCAAACATTGATTTTGCAAAACACTCGATTGCAACCCCTCAGAATTCGGTGAGACAAAAAAAATCTCTACTTTCTTGCAATCCTGAGTTGCCAACTCGACTAACATTCACAGCTTTGGTTTGGACCTCTTTCTTAAAAACTTTTTTTATTGTTATAATTCAGGGGATTTCCTATCGGCATACTTCTAATATCTACATCATATTTTAATTAATCTAATTGCTGTCTTTATATTTCACACTGAGCCAGAGTCTTAGGTGGATCACTCTGACATTGATGTCTCTTGAGCTGTTAAGTGTRTCTAAAAATGGCAAATATCATTATCGTTTAACTATATTCATTAGCATGGCTTATCGCGGCAGGGGATGGATCCACGCCTGCTTATAATGAGAAAGTTCTTTGTTTAGCAGGATAGATATGGGCGTGCGTGCGTGCGTGCTTATGTGTGTGTGTGGTGCATAAATAAAAGGGTGAATCCCTGGAAAGCAGGGCAGGGTCAGTGGAAAAGCACATCAGAACCCCTCCCGACCCCTGGCTCTCATCCTGCCCACCTATCAGTATTCAGCAGACCACCGCTGCCTCCTCTTATCAGGATGGAGCTGATTCATAGTTTCCATGGATGGTTTGTTGATTCCCAGTGAATAACACTTTTCTGTTCTTCTCTTTTAAATGGAACTCTAGTTTATTTTGTGTCTTCTTCAGCCGAATGGGGTTGAGACTCAGTTTTGTTCTTTCCTTCCCACATGTTGTTTACATCCTGGACACGGTGTCGTCCTTTCACTCGCTCTCCTTTAGCTTCATCTCCTCGGCCTCTGTCAGTCAGACCGACAAGTGTGACCCCCCCCCCCCACACACACACACACACACATTCCATCAAGGTTTTTCTCTCATCTCAAAAATGTTTCTCAGCATCAATGAAACGGTTAGCAGTTTGGCACCAGTGTTTCCTTTTATTGTTAACCTTTTAGTTTAATCACAGCTGACAAATTTTCAAATGGCTGCAAGCTGATGCACAGTTTAAAAAGTTTTTGTTTTACACATTCAGATTTGTTTCCATTTCATTCTTCAATCTTGTTGTGGTCATTATATTATTATTATTTTTTTTGTATTGTGTCCTTTTTTTGTGTGGATGCTCATGTCTTCTGTGTTTTGATTTGCCCCATAAGTCATATGTTTTCATTTTTTTATTTTCAGTTGATTTTATTGGTGGATTTGATCCATTCCCACTCTACCATGTCAATGAAAAACCATCTCATCTCCTCTTAAAGCCCATGTACCCGTAAGTATGTCACCCTACTGCATGTGTGTTGCATTTTCAGGAAAAATGTGTTGTCAATGGTGTTTTTCCTTTTTTTGTGAATTTCAAGTCATCTGTGCATGATCATCCCAGTATTTTAAATTTAAATGTCTGTTTATCTGAAGACAAAACTGGATGAATTTGGGAGAGGGTGTCAGGTACTGAAGTCAAGGAACGACCCATGAATGCCAACTTTCACAAGAGCTCAAGGAAGCGGTGATTTAATAATAACAATAAACTGTAATGTACAAAACATGGCTGACGAGGCAGCAAAACAAAGTAACAGATCAGGCAACCATACAAGAAAGAATCAAACAGGGTAGGAACTACAATGGCAGATTGTAGATAAGTGAGGCCTGAGAGAATAAATGAACTGGAGCCACTGAGACAGGTTCCTTAATGGCAACAGAGAACAGGTGAAACTAGGCGGGCCTGGACTAGGAGCAGAAACTAACTGWAAAAAAGTACTGGAATCCAACTAAATCCATAAATCTCAAAAACACTAAGAACTCAGGATCAAGACTGAAGATTTGTTTTCTTAGTTTCTGGAAAGTTGAGATAAATGAGGAGTATGCAACAGTCTGAAACACGTTACATCTTGCACCTTTGCTTTAGGGACCATAAAACTCTTACATAGACCTATTTGTGTGTGTGTGTGTGTGTGTGTGTGTGTGTGTGTGTGTGTGTGTGTGT